GATCAGCTAGCACCTTTGAGGGCATGGGACCTTATTTAGTCTTCACAACCCCTCTATGCCACTTGAATTATCACCTCAACATCAAATGTGAACCCCCTCCCCCAGGGTCATGCCATTGGAACAAACCAAGGAGGAGCCTGAAGCTGTGCCTTTCTGTCATCCAAACTGACTCTCTTTTGGTTGTATCTCTTGGTGCTGTGGGATGTTCTGTATGGCAAATGTGTTGCTGATTAGTCAATAAATAAAACACTGATTGGCCATTGGCTAGGCAGGAAGTGTAGGCGGGACAAGGAGGAGAATAAAGCTGGGAAGTGGAAGGCTGAGTCAGAGAGACACTGCCAGCCACCGCGATGACAAACAGCATGTGAAGATGCCGGTAAGCCACGAGCCACGTGGCAAGGTATAGATTAATAGAAATGGATTAATTTAAGCTGTAAGAACAGTTAGCAAAAAGCCTGCCACGGCCATACAGTTTGTAACCAATATAAGTCTCTGTGTTTACTTGGTTGGGTCTGAGCTGCTGTGGGACTGGCAGGTGAGAGAGATTTGTCCTGACTGTGTGCCAGGCAGGAAAACTCTAGCTACATCTTGCCACAAGTGGCTGCTCTGTGACCAAGTATACAGAAGCAAGATGACCATTTCCAGTTCCCACTACCTTTCAGAGAGAAAGCATTAGGACCTGGCACTAGGCTGGCCCCTCTCTGGTTTTATATCAGAGGACCATGCAGTCAGAAGCCAAGTCAATGTACCTCTTTGAGGCTAAATCTCCTCCATCTGCAAATGAGGCTATGATGCTAAAGCAAGGAGATGAGATGCCAGAGACATTTCGTATGCAGAACTGAGAGTATGCAGTGACTCATTTGATATATGACATGAAGCAAAGCAGACATTAAGGAGTGACTCTTCCGGCATGAAAGGATGGATACAAGGAGGAGCTGTCAGCAGCATAGAAATATGAGAGGAGGAGCGACTTCCATGTGATTAAATCTCATCTGGAAATAATGAGATGCATTTTAATAACTGCTAGATGCGGTAGGGAGGTGCCACAAATATTACTATAGCTAGATGCGGTAGGGAGGTGCCACAAATATTACTATAGCACACTTTTTTGTCATTAATTTATTGTAGGACCTAGAATATGATGGGCTACAAATTCATGACCTGTGAGGTCAGATCATCTTTGAGAATTATGATTTAACAACATTTAACTATATCAAACAGTATTTTAAGTACTGAAAGACATTCTACTTTTCTGGTGAGACATGTAAGTCACACTGGAGAGTCTATTTGTTATGTCTATTGTCAAAGAGTTGTTAGGGCAAATAAGAAGCGATGCAGAAGGATAGCCCTTCTACTATTGTGACAGATTTTCGCCTGCTCTCGCTGTGACACAAATTGGAATAAGTTGACGTACTGATACTTATTCCTATCACTATCATTGGTCTGAACACCATTGTTTCACTGTGGGAGGAAGCAAAAAAGTATTTTCAAGCATACGATTTCAGAAGGGTAGTTAGAGATGGACAGTTCAAAACAGAAACCAAGGCACTGCCTTGTGCTGCTGACCAAAGCGTTTATTCTTCTACATCTAACTGTAGTTGACAACAGGCAAAATGGCTTATTTAAATCAATATAAGAGACTACTTGTAGTGAAAAAACAATGATAAATATTGTGCTTTTACAAAGAACCTATTTACAAAAACACACCTGTATCCATCTCCTCAGCTAGGATACTGATGATCACACACAGTTGCCAGGCTGATTCCCAACACATTTCAGGCCTGTTTCTGCTCAAGGAATTTTATGAAAGCTATATATTCATTCATTTCCCACTATAATTGAGTGTTTTAAATATATATTTACACTGATCTAGGTGTGTTTCTGAAAAAAAAACAAAAACAATTCCTTACTGGCAAGTGAGCGATAATAGATTAAAAGATAAATATGATTCACTAAAGGGATGCATTGTACAAGGAAACACTTGCATGTTTTATGAGATGGAATTGAAATAGGGGCCAGAGATCCAGATAGATATTTTATAAAGATGATGAGGATTGCATATTGGTGTAGCACCAATAGGACTTCATGATGGGCCGAAGGTCCAAGAAACAGAGAAACAGGTGGTAAAAATTGTGCTTACATTTGAGCAGTACAGAGTTGAGGTGGAAGATGGAGAAGCTGATTTGGTAATATTTATTTTGTTGTGTTGGTTAGACATACAGCAGGAACTGCATAGTTTGATATCTAAATCCAGAAAGTTTGGCAGATTAAGGGCTGGAGGTACAAATCTCATGGACTTCTCCATTTTTATTTTTTTTTTTAACCCTAAGTCCAATTAGGTAAAGCTCAGTGTGGAGAACAAGGGGAAAGAGTGGAAGATGGCCTGAAGCATCCACCATGCATAGATCTTCAGAAATGAGATAAGCTGAGAAGCTGACTGCACAGGACAGTCTAGGGTCAGAAACAGTATCTCTGCCACAATGAGGAGCAACACACTACAAAACGAAAACTGTCTATAGACAATTCCAGGTCGAATGAGGACCCCTGGAATGAGACCAAATCTAATAAAGAAAACTATGATAGTGGAAGCTGTTGAAGATACTTGTCACAGACAGCACAATTTGGCCATCCATCACTGAACTGTAATGGGAGCTTACATTAGATGGCATATGTTAAAGTATGTATAGGACAGCATAATTATTCTAAGGTCGCACTGTTTTTATTTGAGATTTGCTATTTGACAGTTTCAAAAACGTGCACAATATGTTCTGATTACTCTTTCTAGCTCTTGTCTCCCATCCATCCTGACCAACCTCCTCCCCCACACCTTCGCTAGCAGCTGCTGTCTGAGTTTCATGACTTTGGTTTTGTACTGTGACACGGTTACTTTAACCAGGGCCATCCGTGACCCTCAGATTAGAAAGCACTAATTTTTAAAAAATAATAATGTGCATAAATTTGGATGTGGAAGCACAAACTCCTAATCCTAACGGCCAGGTCATCCTAGGTGACATACTGAGTTCCAGGCTATCCTGAGCTATATTGTGAGCTCTTGCCTCAAACAACAATGAAATAAATAATAGCAATATATGCATATATAAAGCTTTCTTTACAGAGCAATATTCAATGAATCCAAACAACTGTGTACGGTTTGGTAGGTGAATATTATCTTGACCATTTTGCTAATAAACATAACAGATCCTGAAAAGCTAATTTGATTTGATTGACATCATCCAGCAGGGGTCTAATAGAACTGTTTTGATACCAGTACAAGAACAGTAGGACTCCTAACCTGTCTTCCCAAGCTAAGGATGTACCATACCACTAGACTTCTTATGCACATTTAGATCACAGGCAATGTAAATAGGTTGGACTGGCTGCAAATCACAGATATGCTATGAATTATCTCCTTGCCATGGGCAGTATGCACTATGAGCACCACATACAATGGTTGTGCTTAACAGAGTCCTTTGAGAAGTCACATGAAGATATGACCTATAATTGAGCTTTCATTCCATCAAGGCTAACTACCATCTTTTGAAATAATGACAAACTAGATTTTGTAAATGATGATTATTGATGAGACTCTTAAATTTAAAATTCTGTAGGCTAGCTTCCTCACACAGTGTGCTATGTCACTTTTCATTTTCTATAAACATTTCATGAAATACACTCTTATAATTTATGTACACTCACCCAAATATTCCCATAGCCACATTCCAAGTTTCTCCCCAATTTTCTTCTAGTAGGTTTCAGCTGACATGTTTCTGTTCACTGTTAAAGATTACTGACATTGATGAAGAGTAACCTGCACTTCTTGGAAGGAGTCCCATCTACATCATCATCTTCTGTTTCTTTTGGAGGTGGGGCCTCCCTCTGCAGCTCAGTCTTACCAGGACTCACTTTGTAGACCCAGTTGGTTTTAAACTCAAGGGAGTCCTCTTGTCTCAACCTCCCCAGTCCTGCGATTACAGAATGAGCCACCATTCTTATGTAAAGCATATTTTAATGTTATTAAAAAACTTTTTTAAGATTTAGTGTGTGTGTGTGTGTGTGTGTGTGTGTGTGTGTGTGTGTGTGTGTGTGTGTGTTTAAAGGCCTCTGATATGCCGGATCTGGAGTTACAGGCAGTTGTGAGTCATCTGATGTGGGTCCTGGAGACCACATTCTTGTCTTTGGTAAGAGCAGCACTGACCACACTCTTAACTGCTGAGCCATCTCTCTGGCCCCTTTGTAATTTTTTGAAAGTAACGACTTGTTTATCTATTTTTATTCTCTTTGGCTGTGCTTGGTATATAATTCAGTGTTTTTGCATCCTAGGAAAGTGCTGTATCACTGAACTTCATCTCCAGCCCCTTGCATTTGTATCAAAGGCCCTACAGACTGATTAACATTGGATAAGCAGAGCATCGTGGCTACGAAGAGAAGCAATGTTGCAAGTGGAGATTCAAAATGCTCTTGGTCGTTGTTAGTCTCCTAACAGCTGTGTGTGCTAACTTCTGAGTCTGGCATAACATTCTTACGAATGTTGTGTAAACTTCTTGAATTGTATCAGTAAGTCCAGATGACCTCTAAGCTCCGTCGACTGTGACTCAGAGGGCAATCAGCCAAAGACACCATCTGAGACCTGTAGAAGAGACTCCATCCTACTGGAGGGTCTCACCGATGTGATTGATAAAACATGGAATTATGACTTTCTTTTATTCTGTGATTTTTTTTAAAGTTCACAGAACATCTTCCATGGTGGAATTTATCATTCAATGTAACTTGAATCTTTGGTCACTCATATTTGGCTTGGAATAAACTATTTAACATGTTACTTTACTTTAAGAGAACCTATTAGTGAACAGCATTGCTTGTCACCGTGAGCAGGATTCACACCACTCCTAATCCCTTCCCCATTACTTTGTCTGGTTTCTTGATATTGATATTGTATTTTTTTCATTTTCACCAATTCTTAGCTTATTTTTTCTCCCTGATGCACTTCTAAGAACGCTTACCGTGGTGTGATGGGTTCAACTGTTGGTTTTCATTCTCACTTCACTTCCTGATCTTGTGAGAAGTTAGCAAGCTGTTTCCAGGACAATTCCATTTCAACTTAGCTTCCCCTAAAAAGAAACAACAGAAAACAACTTTCTTTTTATTCTTCTGAAAATTTCCCACTCATAATAAATTGTTGCCCTTTCTTCTTTCTCACTAATAAACACCCTTTAAAGTGAAACATTGAGAAATCAAAAAAAGAGAAAGGATCACATGGATGTTATCTTCAATTGTAGGAGAATTAGTTGATTTCACACAGTCATAAATGCTTACAATGAATTTTGACTTAGTCACACTTACTATAATTCGAGTTAAATTTAAAGTAACCTGAGTTAAGATGCAAACAAACTTCACAAAACCTAAGTACGATAATATATACCACAGCTTTTCAAGTCTGTAAATCTTAGTCATGCCTCTAACTAAGTAGGTTATCCAATCCCAACTGATTGTTCCTAAACACATATACATAGGAAAAGCGCCTAAATAGACTCATAGACTCAGCAGGTTACACACACACACACACACACACACACACACACACACACACACACACACACGAAATCATAAAGTTGAGAAGGAATGAAGGGCATAGGAGGAACTGGAAGGGGGAGAGCGTGGGATAGCAATAATGTACATATAACACTAATTTTAACAAGAAATTGCAGCATAATGGTACTGCTGAATGGCTGAAAAAGAAGAGAAAATGAAAGGGATGATAGCCAACATGATATAGTTTACTAAAATCTCCTAGTCTTTTTCCATGTAGAAGGTCTATTTATACAGGTTTGATTTTGCTCATAAAAATAAGCAAAATATACTACTATTGGCATAAATATGCCAATAATTCAAGAACTAAGCCAAGTAATCAGAGCATTTTGCACCAGTTAGATTATAAATTCAAGTGCATGTATGCATACTGCTAGGTTTCAGGAAAATGGACAAAACCATACAAGTTAAAGTTAAAAAATACTTCTCAATATGCAACTTATTCCTTTAAGTTTCATGTCATTTGATTAGTAAGAATATTATGATTTTTTATTTACAGAATACTTTAGTGAAGTAAAACAGTATGCATTTCATACTGACAATTCACTGAGCTGTTTACAGTAGTCAAATGTAAAAGTCAACTCTATTGTTTCACATGTAAGAGGATGTGGAAGGATATTTTGCTGGAGTTTATGGCCCAAGTTTACAAAATAAGGAGTAGTTAACACACAAGTTTATAAGTTCCCCAATGAAGTGTTAGTTGTTGAAGTTGGTCAAGTTACTGAAGAGCGTAAGGGATGAGTTGTAAGTCTGCCTAGGTGTACCATTCCTTCTCATCTGCTGATGCCTGCTGGGGTGCAATGAAAACTCATGGCTCGAGGACAAAGTTTAAGGAGGCCCTCACACAACCCTGAGAGTAAATGTCTCCTGAAATGTGCTCTCTAGGCTTTATTCTCACTGGTTTCCCTGTAGACTGGATGGTGCCTATGGCACACATAAACAGAAAAGCATAGTAACATAGAGGTAGGAACAGAGAAGAGGTGTGGGGAACTGAGACATGGCATCAGATGAGCTCAAAAATGCTGTCACTCAGAGATTCAGTCTGTGGCTCCGTCTCTCTAGGAAGATACTTAGATCTGAGTCATCATCCCTTTCTCCTTCCTTCTTTCTTCCCAGTTCCCCTGGTGTTGGAGCTGCCTCCTCCCTGGGTGGGATAGTTGCCAGGAGGGTCAATGTGGATATATTCTAGGTTTTCCATATGCATAGGAAATATGCAACCTTGCTATGTCAAATAGTGATGCTCTGAAGTGTCTCAATTGTCTCTCTTCCTTTAGTACAGTCTGGTGTGGAAGAAGCACACTTATTTCTTGGTATTCAAGGAGTTTTGTTTCAGGACTCACAGAACATACCAAAATCCATGAATATTCAAGTTCTTTATTTAAAGTAGTGTCAGGTTTGCCTATAACCTATGCACTTCATGCAGTGTACTTAAAATCGCCTTTAAATCACAGTAGCTAGTACTAATAAATCCATCCATCCATCCATCCATCCATCCACCCATCCATCCATCCACCCATCCATCCATCCCTCCATCCATCTATCCATCCATCATCTTTATCATCCATCTTTCTATCTATCATTGACATGTAATGCTATAGAAATAACTGTTACACTGTAATTAGTTATGTTTATGGCATAATGACAAGGAAAGAGGCTGTGAGAATATAGTGCAGCCACATTTCCCCTGAATATTGTTGATGTGATTGGTTAAACCCATGTGAGATAAACCAATAGTCACAGAGGGAAAACTACTTTGAATGTTCCTACCACAAACTCTCTGTCTACTTAATTGATAATGTCAATAAAAAAAAACACACTCAAAGTTGTTTTTTTTTAATCAGATATATTAAGTACAGTTCTTCACAGCATTGTGGCTCATTCATTGGGACGTTTGACATCTTTGCCAGTGTCTATCATTGAGAGCTCTTCAAATGAGCAGCAACCAATACATGCAGTGGTCCCAGGACCTCACCACATGGATAGATGGATTTCTCTAGCACAACCAAGAATAAGCCACAAGAACTCTTCTTATTCCCTTTAATGCCTACTTTTTAGGATCCCAGAAAAGTAGAGTGCCATTTCTGAAGGTTCCGATGAGTTCGTGCTTGACAGTTCCATTTCAGACGATGAATACCTCTCGCTCAACTCTCCTGGATTTGACAGAGCCGTGCTTTATTTAGCACGCATCAGCAACAGGAGCAACAGTACCAAGGCAGCATTTGCAAAGTCAGTGAGTGATAAGAATTTTGACACACGCTTAAAGCACGTTGGCAATCTCAGCTTCTGTTTTATTTAACTTTTTCTGTTTAAACTTTCTGTGTGTCACTGGGAGTGACATCACCAGAAAAATTGCCAGCCAGAGAGGACAAGCCAGGCTCTGGCCATGCACTGTCTATAATGCCTTTCAGTGTGCAGAATGCTTCCAAAAGCATTGCTTAGCTCACGTTCATAATCAGAGCCCTCAGCACTGTAGCAAGAGAAGCCTTCTCAACTGGTCCATCACTGGGGATTCATAAAGCTTTGCTAGTTAACATGCAAATCCTGCGTGTAGGAATTTTGAAATGCAGTTAGAATGAAGAATTGATTTTTTTTTATAGCATAAAGATTTTCTATTGCTTCCTGTCTTGTTTATAATCAATAAGTAGTCCCTGTCAATATCAAAGATGTTTTTTTAGTGACTATATCGTTACACCCTATACAGAATCGTATTTCTCAGCTTTCAGGAATGTAAAATCTAACTGAATAATAATGATAAATGGAGATTGAAAAAGCTATCACATTAAATAGAGTACTCAAACAAGAGACTACCAAATTAAGGAGGATGGTATTTTTCTTATGTGTTGGGAAATGTAGGAATTAGTAAAGTTCAAAATCCAGGAACTCGCCGGGCGGTGGTGGCGCACGCCTTTAATCCCAGCACTCGGGAGGCAGAGCCAGGCGGATCTCTGTGAGTTCCAGGCCAGCCTGGGCTACCAAGTGAGTTCCAGGAGAGGCGCAAAGCTACACAGAGAAACCCTGTCTCGAAAAACCAAAAAAAAAAGAAAAAAAAAATCCAGGAACTCTTGATTTAATTTATCACACTTCATTTCATTCCGTGTGTGTGTGTGTGTGTGTGTGTGTGTGTGTGTGTGTGTGTGTGTATGCATGTGTGCATGCATGCACAAATGCACATATTTGACTACTTCAGTAAAGCAACAGACTCATAATGTTCAATTGGCCTATTAATGCATTTACATTTACAAAATAATTTTGTAATCAAATTCCTTTTGTTGAAAAACAAAAATGATATGATTTTAAGTGGAAAGGTGATGCAAAAATTATTATCTCCCATTTCAAGATAAATTATTAAACAAAACTTATGGGAGTCACTGTTTTAGACTAAGCTTCTACACTGTGCTCCAATGGGCTAGGCTAAAAATAAAGGTAGAGTCATCCATGCTACACTCCACATCACCAAGCAGTTATTAAGCTGTTTATAAGAGCTCCTGAGAAATCAGAATTACAAAGATGATGGCCAAATTTCCCAAAGAGGGCAGCTTCATGGCATGATAATTAAGTTCTCTCTATGTTAATCTTCACACAAAAGAAGTAACTTGCCATAACCTGGTGTCACCTAATCTGTAACATTCCCAGTGTTCTGGCTCCCTGTAGATGATTTATAAGAAGACAATTCAGAACCAATATGTTAGAGGTTCTTCTTCTTCTTCTTCTTCTTCTTCTTCTTCTTCTTCTTCTTCTTCTTCTTCTTCTTCTTCTTCTTCTCCTATTTTTAGCTTTGGTTCATCTACAAACCCAAACTACTGTTGAACCATCAGAATACTTCTACTTTATAGAATAAAATACTAAATGACTAAAAAATAAAGTTAATTTATTATCATTAAGCTTATTATTGTCCTTTAACAAAACAAAACACAAAGCTTAGAGACTTGACCAAGATATTACTAAGAATTAGTCAGCATTTGTTGAAATTTCATTTAGTGATAAAATGGGCATTTGTTGATTTTTCTTTAAAAAGCCTATTTTATTCACTAAACACATAGGATCATAGGCATGGTCTTTTGAGATTCGAAAGTTCATGGCATAGTGAAAATGGGAACTATTTTCACATGGAACCAATACATAATTGTAAATTCAACCATAAATGTACAGATAAGAGCCACAGAAACACAATAAAAAATTAAAATCTACAGAGACTCTGGGAAAGTTTTGTTTACGATGTGATTGCTAAGAAGTTCTACACTGAGAAAATCGAAATCAGGATCACAAATGAGTCTTGTCTAGAGATGTTGCTGGAAATGGAGAAGCCAGATGGTGATGAGTGCTAACATTAGGTTAGGGACATTTGGCTTCGTCACTCTTCAACTCTCTTCCTTTACCACACCCCATTGGTCTCGAAGTACTGTGAGAGTGAAATCAAATTATATTGAGTATGAGAAGAAGAGTTTAAAAATGTCAGAAAGATCAAAAGAGCTTTGTCACAGAAACTAATTAGAAAGAACTGAAGAAATTGTTTCAGGAAATT